ACTTCCTGTAGTCAGTGAGTGGGGACAGGCAACTTCCTCAGTACCACACTTGTCTTGCTTCAGAAACCATTTATACATAAATAACCATAGATGAGGGATTTATTAAGAAGAGTTTAGACTCACTGGGCTTCATAGAAGCAACAACAGCTCATGCTCAGATCAGATCAAATGTCTCCACTGAGGGTCAGTGACATGAAAGCCTGTGCCATGGCCCCTCCACAAATGGTATGAGTCTTCCATCTAGGATGGCCAATACAAGCAAAAACTGCCAGCAAAAGAATAACCTTTTTCTTTCTGTGAAGTGATACATCTACGTCCTTCTTGAACCCAGACAGGGGGTTTGATACAGAGGGTTTTTTTCTGTAGTCAGCAGTAATGATATTTCTATTAAAAATTAATGCCAACAACACTTCATTTTTAATCTTGGAATGATGCTGAAGTCCTTAATCACTCTACAAAGGAACAATACAAGGAACCTCAAGGTGTAGTGTCCCAAAGCAACTTGAACATAGAAAAGCAAAATATTTTTGTTTTAAGTTTCAAGCCACATTGAAGTTGATCTGAGATTTTGTGTGCCAAGTTTCAGCCTAAAAGGAGCGTGGTTTTGGCTACAGTATAAGCCCTGGAGAATAGGAAGCATTCTCGAGGAAGCATCAAATAGCAATTTTACTACTGTACGGCAGAGCAAGTGGCTATGTTACAACAAAATCACTCAATAGGATAATTTCTTGTGTTAGCATTTTAATTAAAATAAAGAATACTTGCCTCCATCTTACACTCTGCAATTGTCTCTTCAAATTACACAGACATACATAATGTACCAAGCAAAGAGAAAATAGGATCACAAATCCTAGCAGACCTGAAATCATGACTCAGAATCTCTGTGAGAAATATGGCAAATAAAGTCAGAATTAGTGATTCCATAAACATATCTTTGGAGGCAATATTAACAGGTCCATAAAGTATTTCTGGACAGTAAAGAATAAATAGCACCTATTATTAATGTAATGGTCAAGAATGTCACTTACCACACCTCTGCAATACACTAGTTTAATACATTATTAAACAGCATCCCAGAATGGATAAACACTGAACAGAAACTCTAGATGTAGAGATGTTTCCCTGTGATTTTATCAGCAGCAACATGGTTAATGCTAGCCCAATCCTGACCCCAGTGTAGACAGGGCCTTTGGTTTGCTCTGTTTGGTTTTTGGATGAGTATTAACACTTATGCAAGCTTCAGACTGGGCTAGGTGCTTTGATCAAAGCACTTTCCAGTGGGCACAAAATCTGCCTCTAATGTTTGCACCTTAGCTTTCATTTTAAAGTAAATCACTGAGGTGAGACCCTGCCAATTTAGCTTTGCATATCACTTTCTCCAGCCAAACAGTTGCACAGATTGTCCCCTGCAGGGTCTTCCACCAAGAGAAAAACTGGTCTTCTCCCACCCATGCCAACAAATCATCCAGGAGCCTGCTCTGCACATCCTCACTGGCTTCCCCCAAGCAGCATTCTGTTCAGCCCAAATGCAGCTGTGGGGGAATCGGTGGGTGCTGGCAGCATACATTAGGAGCTGTTAAGGTGTGCCAGCCCAGTTCTGACAGTAGAAAAACTCCCGAGGAGACACAGGGCTTTCTTCATTGCCCTTCCTCTTCTCCGCCTGGTCAAGTTACTCTGGCTGAGAAATTCGGCCATGTCCAGCAGGATTCTCCAGAAAGATGAGCAACGTAGCACAGACGGCATTGGCTGAAAATGAGGTAAAAGCCTTTTCTGCTCATTTAAGTTGAAAGTGATCTTCTCACTGGAGCCCAGATCAGATGACTTTATGAAAAGGAATTGCTGATGCAATTCTGGAATATCAGGCAGATCCGTGAAGGGTCTCCAATTCCCATGGCCCCCAGATGCTTACCAAATCAGCAGCCTTTCACTTGGGCAGTAGCACTCCAGCCTGGTTGATACCTGCCTCCTCAATGTGAAAATTTCTGTTATATCGTGTCTCCCTCTAGTGACTAAATGTATTTTTGAAAGCCAAGCCCCAACATAACTTTTAAAGATTCTGTAAAGCATGTATCTACCTTTGATGTGTAGATTCAACTTTCTTATTTTCATTCCTAATTGTGCACCAAGGTATGAATTGGATTTTGTTTAAAACTGTCCAAATTTTAAGACAGTTATAGTACTTAGCAGGCGTGGTGTCTCCATTTAAACAAAGGACCAGTAGGAATGATAGATATTGATTAAACATTCATGCTATTTATTTTGTACTGGCAGCTAATCTTTGTCCAAATATTTAAATCCAGAGAGTGATATTTAAGAGCAGCTCTATTAAATTAATCACTTGTGCTTACCACTCATATGAAGATCATTCTTTCTTCTTTGGCAAGCTAGAAGACATCTATTCATCCTCACCAACAAAACAGTAGCCCGAATTTGGTTTAAAAGGCATAGAAAGAAAAAGAAAAACCATGTCCAAAGTTCCATCAGCTGAAGGTAAGAGTGGAAATGAGATGAACAGAGAAGAGATTGAAAGCTTGAAGCTTCATAAAAGGACTGCCATTCTGGTTTCTTCTCAACTTATCCCACGAGCAATAATACACTTTACAGTGATAATAAAAAGCAACCACAAAGAAAGTGTCAGATGAGGAGGATGTTCTTTAGAAAAGTAAAATCTTTTTTTCTTTAACCCTAGTATTATGAGGCATATGTGCATGTACACATCAACAAATGGAATTGGAGCATAGAGTTTAAGACTGACCAAAGGTTAGCACCATGGCACATATGAAGGATGAGCACTAGGGAGGAAAGCAAGGCAAGACAAAATCTCATGGGTAGCATATTGCATTTCTCTCACAGATACAGAAGGAAACAGTAAAGAAAAATGACAACACATAGGAGGTATACTGAAAAAACATTTCAAAACAATTTTTGAAACTCTGTTGGAAGCTGTTAACAACAGCAACATAGGAAAAGGAAACTTCAGATTCACATTTCCACTCAAAAGTTTTAAGCAAATATTATTGTAATAAATATAATTGAAAAAATATAGTCGAAATTAATATCTTTTTTTCATATTGAATTAATTTCCCACACCTAAAATCAATTTAATTTTACAACAGGCATCACTTTTTTTCTCATTTAGTGGCACTGAGGTTGCTTAAGTCCACATGTAACAGTCCTTTGGGAACATTCAAAATTCAACAATTTCAGTATTACTCCTGAGTAGGAAAACAGGGGCTGGTTATGCACCTGCCAACATGTTTGGCCTCAAATCTTTATAGGGTCCCATGAAGTGGAAACAAGAAACGTCTCTGGCAAGTTTTATCATGATCTGAGTTTCTTGTTATTCTGCCTAATCCTCTAGGTCTTTTACAGAAAGAGGAAAAAACAATGTGATTTAAAATCTACAGAAATTGATACAGTTTGTAAGTAGGAATAATGCCCAGGGCTAGAAGTCAAGTGAGGATCCTTGTTTTATTTTTACCTAATTTCAAAAAAGTGTCATATCAGTATTTTATTTGGCCTGAAATATTTTTAGTTTTAATACCAATAAAAATCATAATACGACTGCAAAAGGTAGAGAGAGAAGAGCCCTTAAAACTTTCCTTAAAACTCATTGTGTCCCTAGTCTGGTTTCCAGTTTTGTTTTTCCTTCTTGGTCAGGTGCAGTTCAGCTTCTTAGCTCTGTTTTGGTCCTGTTACCTTTAAAGTAATATCTAAACTTAAGTAAATGACCCTCATCTCAGGATGTTTGTAGCTTCCTTTATCATAGAATCTTAGAATATGCTGAGTTGGAAGGATCCCATCAGGTCATGGAGTCCACCTCCTGGCTACAGTATAAAGCTATAAAACATAGATGTTTTGGGGGTTTTAGCTCTGAAGGAAACCATTATTTTATATTTCCTTTTCAATCATTCACTGGTTTTATTTTGCGGCTTTAAGTCACTGGCTAGAGCAATAGTATGTCCATACTACAAGGGAAGAAAAAAAAAAAAAAAAAGAAGGATAAAGAAATACCACCCGTTTATAAACTATTCAAATACTACAGCCAATCACCTGTGGTGCCAAAATCCAGCAAATGTTGCTGCGCTCCGTCAGTAAAGCACAGCCCAGCTCTGCCTGCTACTCTTCTTCTACGTGCCCATAGGTGGCACCAGTCGTGTTCGCAACACCTGAGTCCGTGTCTGCCCAAATCCCTGCTCATGTCCCTGTCTGCCCAAATCCCTGCTCATGTCCGTGTCTTCCCATATCCCTGCAGACCTCGACCCTTCCACCCTGGCTTCTTCCTTGCTGCCGGTCTAGGTGTTAATCCCCAGCGTTAAACACGTGCAGAAGCAACTCCAGACAAGCCAAGCATGAAACATTCTTCTCTCTGCCTCTGCGCACATCTCTGCCCGACCATACAGCTGTGTCCTCAAATGGCAAGGACAAACAAATGTGTCCTCAAACAAATGTGTCCTCAAATGGCAAGGAACAGTCTGGAGCATACTTCTCAGGAAATGTGGCTTTGGAAATGTTAGGGTGGATTTAACGTTGTTCTTCTGGCCCTGCCTCTGCCCAAAGAGAAGCAGCAAACTCAGGGTCCCGAGGAAACCCATTTCAAATGAGTACACCCAAAATCCGACAAAGTCCAGCATTGATATAATTTGTGCCACAGACCTTTTTAGATGTTAAGCACTAAGCTAAGTCACAAATGTTTTTTTCCTGTCCCACAAGTTTCGGCATCCAAAAGCCTGGAAAATAATACTGTCAGGAAGAAAAATGAGTAGAAATCCCTAAGATTAAATTGTTAAAATATTTCATGCAAATAATATTATCTCCTTTTTTTTTGCTGTCGTTAATTTTTCACACTTTAAACAACAAATTAACTAAAATAATGTGATAAAATCATTGTTTTGAACTATAAAATAGTAACACATTTTTCTCAAAACTACCAAAAGGGAACATTTCAAGAAGACCTTGAAGAATTGTTTCAAGTTAGATCAGAATAATAAGAACTCATTTTTCTTACAAGCAGGTTTTGTTGTTTTTTCAATGTACCTGTATTTTCCAGAAGAGAAAGCAAAGAACTAAAATTATAATATAGGACTTACTTTATGTCCTACCACCTTTTCTCATGGTCTGCCTATTTCTGCCTTTCCGTTTCTACTTATTTTTTTTTAATTTACTTTAATTCTCAGAGCCAAAATGTTGGAGAACAGAAATATAATTAGATACCTCCTTCTATCCCTCTCCTCTCCAAATACCTTGGCCTTACTACATCCAGAGAGAACTGCAAAGCAAGACTTTAGTCCAGACACTGCTCCAAACAGCCCGGGAGCTGCCTCAACTTGCTCTGTCCATCTCTAAGCCCAGAACTCGGGAAAAAGCAGAGAAGAGCTGGATTACATCCATCAAGAGAATAACTCACTTACTGAACTTCAGACATTGAAAATAAAGATGTGTGATGGAAGCACCCACATAGGGTGGCTCAATGCTCAGTGGAGAGCGAGGATCCAGCTCAGCCTGAAGCATTTTCTGTGGGTTAAATTGCCCTCCAGAAATGTGGGTGCCTACTGAAGCAGCCCACAGAATGAGCTTGTACACAGCATGCCACATTTATCTGAGGGCAAAGGGCCTGTGCAGGTACCCTGAATGAAAAAGCTGCTTTTGGGATACAATGCACACAAAGGCAGCTGTGTTTCTCCTTCACCTCTATCCTCACCAGCCAGTTACCATCTGCATCGCTAGGGTTTTAAACCTTGCTCCATCTTGATGTCATTTTTTGGGTAGCTTGTTGCATTCTGTGATATCCTGCTGTTTACCTTTCTCCTTAGCTACCAGAGTAAAGATAAATATTCTAAAAACATTCTAAATATATAACACTATATATATACTATACCCTAACACATTCACAAATGATAAAGAATTATAATTCACAAAGGCTAAAGAACTATAAATTATTCTTGTTGCAACATTACTTTAATTCACTTCTCAGTTGGTTTATTTAAATGATTAGTTATTGCCCAGCTTACTTTTCTCATTTAAAAAAAAATGTTCTAACACATTTCAGCTGTGTTAAACTACATTTTACACATGAATTAGTGTGAATTTTATTGCTGTATTTTCCCAACTTATTAAAAGGGTGGTACTTTGCAAATAAAACTGCAGGATGGATTTTTTATTTACAGTCCTAGTCCAAACCTTCACATCTACTTAATATGGGTAAAGTGTTTAGGTTTCCAATGTAGTCCAGCTGCATGGCTGGAATCAAACTTGTAATTGTCTCTTTGGGATTTAAAACTATTAGAGTTGTGCTTTTATGTTCTCTTTTGTTTTGCTTGAATCACTTTCTCAGGTCTATGAAGTACAGCTGGCACAATAAAAGTTTGATCAATGCACAACCAATGCAATGTATATTTCTTCCAGATATGTAAAACCCACGTGAAAAATATTAATCTGTGAAAATGGTCTTTCTCAGCTACTTGTTCTTGAAAGTAAAATCAGTTTCAGTCTTGAGGTATATGGTCTTGCCTGGGACTTTCCAGTCTGAGTTTTTCAACAGTTTCTTGTAATTTGACATATTAAAATGAATGATATCCTGATGTAAAATTTCAATTGCTAGGGCAGATTTTTCTTTCATACTCCGATACTTGAATAAAATTATCCTGGTAATACAGGAATTACCATTAGAAAAAGCCTATACAAGCAGTTTTTATTTCCTTACCAATTTAGTCTCCTATCATGTATCATTGACATTGATGCTATTAGATCATATTCTCAAATCCTTTAGGCCTCAGAGTCATGCTTTGGGCATACATTAAATCACCAAATGCCTGCAAAGAAATTGAAAAATTAAACCATTCAGTTTTGGCAACATGAACTGGTCTTCAAGTTCTGGAGGACATTAACCTAATATATAATAAATTTTTGTTCCCTCTGATTGATTTAGTAGTCTTCTCCAGCTAAAGCCTGACTCTTCTGGAATTGGTGGAGGTTTTGAAATTGTTCTTCAATACAAACCAAGAATTCAGACTCTGGCCTTCAGATAATATTTATGACACTCCACCTTTTAAAATCGAAAGTAAAAGAAAGGAAAAACAGAGAACATGTCAGTACATACATTTGGATGAAAGGTTTTCTAAACAATGATGTATAAAATTATTGTAGGTATACCAATATAAAACTGTGGAGCCAACTTAAACATGGTGATGCCAGACGTCATGTTTTTCAGGAATTTTCACAATATTTGGTGTTTTTCTCTGAAAGTTCAGTTTCAGGGTTTAAATTATTACATTAGCCTCATAAACAAGACCCCAAATAAAATGGGCAATAGTTGTGCATACATTTTGAAGCCACTGTTAACAATTCAGATCCTAGATTCCTACATTCTTCTTATGTTATATGTAGTACATCACACAGCCCTGTGTTGTTCCAGAACATGATTGACTTTGTCAGGCATGTAAAGTGCCCATAAACTGTAGCAGAAAACCTCTCACAGCCACACTAATGCAGTAAGGAATGAGCCCACCTTCACAGGAGTGGCTGGATTTCTTACACTGCCTACCCAGTAGGTTTGCTCCAGCTTCGTGTACAAGATGGAGTTTGTTTGTGGAATCATGCATAAAGATGGAGTCTCTAGTAGCTGTAAGATGGCTCTCCTACACACTCTTTATATATATATGATAAATAAGTTTATTGGATCACAACTTGCATCAAAACAAATGTGGTTTGACTGAAAGCTACTGCTATGGTAGATTTGCCTTTTCTCAGTAGAGTGAAGGCTGTCATACTATCCAGAACCAGACAATACTCAAATTTCTTCTTTCTGTCTTAATTAACTTGATTATGATGTTCTGAATTCTGGAGCCTATATGCATATTTGTAAATCCAAGGCTCACATCCAGATATGCCTTTAAATAAATAGTTAACATCCACAGAAATATCAAGCCCTATTCACTGTACCTTTAGCAACACAACGAAGATATTTTGCATATTCAAACACAGTCATATAAGTAGTTAATACTCACTAGAACGATTTTGCATGTCTTGTACATTGTCATCAAAAACAGGTGTAGCAAGTTCACAAGTGCAATATGTCCCATCTTTTTTCTAGAACAAAGGATACACACAAGGTAAGAACGATGATCATTCAAGGGAAGACACCATTAACCAAAGTCACTAAACTAAGACAAAACCCTCAGAATGTTCTGACATGTTCACTTTCAACATATATATTAAACAGACAAATTTATATTTGCTAGTCCAACAGATATTTCAGACAGTTCTTCCTTACTATGTACTCCATGGAACTCTTCTTCTAGATTGTTAATTTAATTAAGGCTCTCAATGTGTTCACCTAATTCTGGAAGACCTGACTCTACTGTCACTAGTAGTAATCTTCCTGAAATACCTGAGTGATTGAAAAAGTGACTCCAGCATTATTCAGCAGATCTCAAGTTATCCCCAAAACACCTCTTTTTTAAACTTTTACTTCTAATTGCAAAATATCATGCTCAGATTGCTTTAGGCATAGTTTCTTCTGTTTTCAACTGATTGCTCAGATCTGGCAACTTCAAACAGTAAATACCCTGGATTGCTTATCTCTTTTTAGTACTTAGGCCATAACAGTCCTCAGATATTTTTGAAAATATATGAGGGGTCTTCTTGCAACATTTACCACCTAGAGAAAGAAAAATCCCACCATGACTTATTAGTAAAGCCTCTCCCTTCTAGAAAATCAATGGGCATTCAGCTTCTATATTCCTGCCGGTCCTGAGAATGTTAAGGAAACATCCCAGTCTGACCACTGGCAGACACTTTAGCAGTCACATTCCCAATGCCAGACACTTTCACTGATAGGACTGAAACACCTCCACAGGAGGTGGCGGCAGTGAGCCTTGCTTTACCCACCCCAAAAATGCAGACCAGCTTTCCTTACCAGTTCAACCACAGGTTTCCAATAGCAGAGTCTCAGATATCCATAAAGCAATTTATTCGTGGTGCAGTAATGGAACAAAAACAGCTTGAGATGGTGCCTCCGAGGAGAACCCCCAACAAAGGAACCCCCTCACAATCACATGTGGGCAAGTCTTGCTCTTTTCGAGTCTTTGGCTCCTGCTGTGTCTTTCAGTGTCCATTCATCTACCTGGCCAGTAATTTTGCACCTTTCCCAATCCCAAAGGATTGGCAGTTCAAGGCCTCTTGTCTCTCTGGGTTCTCACCCAGAGCTCAGTCTGCATCTTGAACTGCAGTATACAAACTGAGCTACCTGCACCAGGTGTATTGCCCGACAGAAAGTTGGACTTGGGATGTTGAAAGTGCAAGTCCATGCCATGAATTCTTCTTCATGAGACACGCCTCAAGAAGAGGTTTTTTGCACCCTCTCTGCTTTCTGGAATTATTTTGGTGGTAATGTGGTATCTAACAGCATTTCTTTTTTAGGAGCGGCCTCAAAAATTTCTGTTGTCATCACTCAACTTCAGAGAGTTTTTCCTCTGTGTCAGAGACCAACTGCTGCCTTACTTTTCTAGGTCCAACTCACATGCTCAAAGATTTCCCACAACAACAGCCCTGCCATGTGAAGCAAATCTAGGAATTAGTGTTATGATGTGGCTCTCAGTGGAGAAATATTTAACTAGGAGGATATGCCTCCAAATCATATAGTACTGTATGATGGTATTTGCTGGGAGTACTTTTTCTGCCTCTGGTCACAGATTCTTTTGACTTAACCTGCTACACTTTGCACAATTCACTTTATTTTCTCTCCAAAGCAAAAGAAACTCACTCTTGTACAGACCCCCTTGACATTATTCTGTCTTCCAAATGACTGATTACATCGTCACTTTCTATTAATTTCCTGGTAAGCACTGCTACAACATTTTAAAATTCTTTTCCCTTTGCAACTTGCTGCCCAACATAACGGCAGTCAAGAAAAATCCCCTGAAGGAATTGTTCTTCCAGGCTTGTATGGTGCTTTCCAAGAAGCACCTTCACAGTTCAAAAGTGAAGTAAAGAAGTCTTGGCCATGTGGATACTAGCAATTTGTCATGAATGTACCCTAGGGGCCTGTGATCTGCTTCAGTGGTAATAGCACAGCTAGATGTGGTGACTAAGCTCCTGACACCCAGGGAAAACAAGAATAATATTTTTTTTCTATCTGAATATAATTTTGCTGTGTTGACATTATACTTTGAGCCTTTCACTGTGAGCTTCTTCTTGCACCACAGCTGTTTCGAGTGCTGCTTAACACTTCTTCTGGTGGAATTTCCCTTGTTTCTATAAAGTATTTTGCTTCTTTCTCAACAGCATCCTTCATGTTTCAGATTGCTACCTCATCCCAGTTCTTTATGGACACCCTGTGACTTCTGCTGTTCTTGGTACCGGAAATAGTTTTACAGCATTCACTTCATTTGTGGTTCCTGAAGTCCTTAATTTTCTATGCAGTGATTTACATTCTGCTATAATCCAGCTTTAGTTTATTCTTCCTGAATTTTGACTGAGCAGTGGTATTCCCTCTTGTCTTGGTCACATATGTCTACACTGTCATGTATGTTTTCACCTCCTGTCAGCAGTCGTGCATCATTCCCCCTTTTCCCAGGAAATCTTGTGTTCTGATAACAGGCCAGCAGGTGTTTCCTACCAAATGTTGTGGCTGCTCATATCTCATTCCAGTCCCACCTACCTTGCCCAGGATGGGCAGTTTATATGCAGAATATGCTGCAAGGTCCTGATAAATTATAGCCCATAGCACAGGGAGCCTATTTTTTTGCAGTGATCAGTAAGTATCCAGGCTGCCTTTTTTTTTTCCTCTTTGTACTCACATCAGAGGTTTGACTACTTTAAATCACACCCTTTTCTTGGACACTGAGGTTCCTTTGCATCTCACTTGTGGAAGTAGCTGCTGAAATACCTAGTTGTCAGTACCAGAAACATGGGAGGTAGCATGTTTTTTGATTTGACAGCATGTCAAACTCAGTGAGAGATTCTGACCTTTCCCTTTGCATCTATAGTTAATCTGTAGTTCTCCAGCAACTGGGTTTGAAGAACTCTGTATTTCATTAGTGGAACCCAAATGGAAGCTGTCTTTTGCCCTTCTTGTGTGTCATGAATACAGAACACTTTTTCCCCAGCTGTTTATTCAAAACTGAATGTCAGAGGTTCTCCTTTGGCCCTATGCAGCTAATTAGAGGGAGGAAGCTAGCTACATTGTTATCCTTCTCTTTGCCATGTACTGAAGCCAAGAAGAGTGCTGTGTCACTGCTGCTGCTGGAGTCCCTTTGGGGGTGCTCTCCAACTGCAGGCACGAACTGCACTGTACACCCTGTGCTTTTCTGTTTGTTTATGCGTCATGCTTCTGCAAAATGATTTACTTCGTGGTCGGACTCAAACAGCCCGACCAAAATGCAACTCTTTTGGTAAAGAGTTGTTTTTTTGCTTTACCCTTTTAGCAAAGGTGTAATGAAACATTTGGACCGCATGAAAACAGAATGTTTTGCTATTTTGCACAGGGAATTTTAGGAAGAGGGTGAACAGTTTCTCAGCTGTTGAGTCAGCATTTGGAGGAAGAGGAAAGTAAGGGTGAAAAGTATCTCCCTAAATGACTAGAGCATTATTTTACTTTAGCACAGTTTTGACAGTCAGAATTGGAAACAGTGTCAGAATGCAAAGCTGCAAATAAAGGCAAATGATGTTTCAATCTGGATTCAAGAGCAAATCCACAGCTGCATGTAAATTAAAACTAAGACCAGCTCAGTGGAGCACGCACCTGCCGGCACTTGAGGCTGTGGGTACGGAGCGATTGTCACCTGCCGGGAGGTGACATGGCTGTGTGCACCTGGTGCTGCTGAGCCCCTGCAGCATGCCACCCCAGCAGGCATGTCCTGGCGATGGTGAGCACCTACATAACACGGGGCTGTAGTCCCAGACCAGGGCTGCCTCAGGTACATGTATGCATGTCCAAAACAACGCTCACCTAGGCTAGATTTTTAAAGATTGTCAAAGGGTGCAGATAGAGAGCTCCATGGGAACGGGGCATGAAAAATGATTTGCCTCTATTGGTCCTGAATGTGTCTGAAAATCTGGTTATGTTTCAAATATAATAATGAATTTGGTGGAACTAAGTTTGATTATTTGATCCTACAAATTGTTTGATTTTTTTGCCTGAGATGACATTCCTATGGGACAAATTTTACTTATGTTCATATTTTCTCCTAATTGTTTATGATGCAATTGAGTATGATAGAATTTTTAAAATATATTCTTATTAAAGAATGACTGTATATCTTATATCTTCATCTGTAGTGGTGATAAGATTCTTTTAAGTAGCGTTCTTTACCCATATTAGTTCTTTCTTCATCAAATATTTCTTCCTAAATTCCTTCTTACTAATATTGGATTTCATAATTAAAAATAATAATACTTTAGAAATAATATCCTAGAAAATAATATTTTCTCACTTTGTAATTATTTTCAAAGACTGATGGTATATATTGGAATTTTTGTAATAAACAGAGAATTAAAACTTACTAATTGGTAGGGTGAAAAGAATAATTTTGCTTGCAATCCCATGCAGACATCATAATAACAAATTATCTTACATTGGTGTAGGTATACAAAGAAAAAATAGGAGTTTCCTCATTTCATAGGGATGATTACAATTTGAATTATGTTATACACATCTAATTGGACAAGAGCATCTTGAGAGGTAATCAACATCTGCAAATCTCAAAAAAAAATTGGATTCAAGTTTATAATATATTCCTGTTGACTTGGGCCCAGTTTGCACTCAGATTTTACAAACGATGGTATACCAGAGGGGACAGAATTTGTACCTGTAAAGTGTACATTAGCTTAAGCTTATTCCTGGAACAATACAGAATTATACTTTATTGAAATTATAACTGCAGTTGTACCATAGTTCTAACAGCTGTAGTTAAAATTTTAAGTTTTGTATAAAAGGGGAAAAAATTAAAAGGAAGAAGCAAAGTGACTTGCTATGATACTGCAGAGGAGCTAGAGAGGAATTGGACATCACTGTGCTGTAAATACATGCTGATGGTGAGTGATCAATGGCAGTATGCATTTCAACCTTTGCAACGCTCACACAAATGTCAAAGTGACACCAAATGGCTGAAATCTGGTCAAAGCTTTTGAACGAGGACACAGTGAACTTAAGAGGACTGTTTTAAGGCCAGCCATTTCCAGTCTCAGTAATCTTGAAGGGATACAATCAGTCTCAGTGGGGGAAGACTGAAGATTTCCTCCAGCTGTAGTGGAGAGAGCAAAGTGAAGTGCCCCAAAGAGGTACCAGAACTCCTCCACTGACTCCCGTGAAAACTAGCTCTGCTGTGACACCCTGAGAAGAGCATTGGTAATCAGCCTACAGATATTTTGGCTTCTGGGTATTTTACCTGACAGACATACACATTGTCTTCAATGTCCTCTCCAATGTCACTAAAACCTGGGACAACAGCTGTCCGGTCATACCAAGTTCAGGTACTGAGAGCAGAAGGACTGTTTAGGTGTATACAAAGAGACATACCTACAAGCGTGTCCAAGGAAAAGAACAACAACCTAGAAAGCTAATCACTTACCTTGGGCTTTTCTGGTTTGGCTTCCCAGCATTAGGAATTGATTATAGGATGTGACTAGTAAGATGGGAAATAGCCCTGTCCTATCCATCACACAGAAAGAAGGCTTCTTACAGGTTCCCTTCTGCACCAAAATCAGGAGATCTGCAGCAGCTGCCCTGCCTTAAAGATCTGACTGTACAGAACCATCAATGAGTTTCATGGTTGCAATGACTCACTGCAGGAAGTAAATGAATGGGAAAACCAGGCAGAAAAAGTGATTAAGAATGAAAAGCAAGAAAAGAGTATTAAAACCCCCCAGCAGTCTTAGTATCTTAGAACCACATATTTGCCCTCCGTTCCTCTAACAAAAGAACATTATGAGCTTGAGCGTGTGCACACACACACACTCTTGCTTATTCTATGCTTTTTCGCCTCATCTGGCAGCCGCTTTCCGGTCCAGCAGACACTAACATCTAATGAGACAAACTTCCCATTTTCAGACTAATCAGTCGGCTGCACTAATTGCAAATGCAAATATGCAAATTTATATTAATTAATTACTCTGCTAATTAGTTCTGCAGT